ACATCAAGTTCTTTGATTCCAAGAACACAACTTCGAGATGGCCTCAACATTACTTTTTCCTTATTAGTTTCAGACGATGAGATCAATAGCACTTTTGACAATATGAGTAAAAAGAGGTACATCAGATGAGAACTCCTATCATCGACTAAGGATGTCAAAACTACTGGTACTGCATTACCAAATCAATACTGAGAAAATAATAATAACAATAAATATAAAAAAAATATATAAATCTTCTGCAGTCTTCTCTCAAATGTGCTTCTTGGCAAAAAATGTCCTGCTTTCTGAGATATTAATGTATTAAACACAGCAGTGTTAGGGGTAACGCATTACAAGTAACACAAGTTGCATAATCAGATTACTTTTTTAAGTAACACATTACTTTTTCCAAGCAGGAGAAGTCAAAACGAGTGCAAATTCTGCGACCCACTCTGGTGCCAAATCCCTACAAAGTGATGTGAACAATGAGTCTGCGACAAATCTGGATCAGCATGAACAGGATCATAAGAGAGATTTGTTACAAAGCCTGACAATAGATAATATTATCTGAAGCAAATCTGACATTTGCACAAGCTGTTGAAACAGCTCTCAGTATGCAAACTGGGGACCACAACTTGAACTACTTAAAATTAAAATAAGGAACATGACAAAGCCTGAATAGAGTGTAAATATAATCATGACTTTGCTAGAAGGTTGTAAGCAAATAGTTTGATGCTAGCTTGTTCTAGCCTATACCTGTACTAGTATCTCATGCATAGCTTCAGAGATTATTCTACAGCGCTTTTGATCTGATATATGGAGTCTATCCAGCTTAATCTTGCAAAGAATTAAGAAGAATTCCTTTAAGGCTCACAACGAAGTAAGTCACTGACAATCCCTTCATGAAGGACAAAAGATGAACTCTAAAAAGGCTGAGACGATTCCAAAAATGCAGGCTCAGGGTAAAAATACAAAAAAGCCCAAATGTGATATTGGTAATAAAGCCAATGTCAAAAGAACTACATATTGTGCATTAGAATATGCTGATGACGCTGATGCAGTGCATTTTTTAAATATCACAGGGAAGTGTTTCCGCGGAGGTCTTCAAGTAATGAGAAAGTTACAACTAAAATAACTATACCTGACATTGTACAATGTGGAAAGACCAAAAATACAGGCCCACTTTTTAGGTTGAGTTAGTGTGGGAATATAAAAAGATGGCAAGCTGAATAGTAGACTATAGGAACCACCTGTACTTTGACCTCAGGTGCAGACAGCATGGGCTCATTCCTCTCAGCTTACTCCTGAGGCCTGTGATGAAAGATCACAAGACTAACAACTGGACATGTGTCCTTTAATATAGCACATGGATATACTAGTGTCTACAACTTAGACACTATAATGCAGGGGCAAGAACACCAATAGCTGCTAGAACACTCTACCAAGAGGATAATGATCTGGCAAACTCTTTGAGAGGGCACTCTTCCAGTGAAAGTAATGACCTGCTTGTTTGGAACTGACACTTTTGTAACTTTTGTAACTTTTTTCCGGGTTGACTGATGAAAGCTTGTACGCTCTAACTCCCAGAGAATGAACAGAATCAGTTCGATCAGACCAGAGCTTGCCTTTTCGGACAGTTCTTGCCAGTTTTGAGTGCAATATGGATTAGATGGTTAATGAATGGTCGATATTGCGCGAAGTAAGTCATTAGTAACATAACTCTAACAGCTTTCAATGCACTGTGTCTCTCCTTGAGACTAGTCTTCCTCAAGGTATAACGTTACATTGCCAGGCCACCGCAAAGACCAGTGACCGTGACCGTGACCGCAGTCATAGCCTAGAGCAGCCAAAAGCTTTGACTTTATACATTGTTTCAGTTTTTTTTTCTTGAGGCATTTTACCACTGTTATCTTCTGCTTACCTGACTGATCATTCTCCCCACAGAATCTTGTCGCAAAGCCTGTATATTCTATCAGTTTCTGTGAATCTTTCATTTTAGACTTATGTTGTTAGACTCAGCACTGATGTTCCCATATGCAAACCCAATGACTTGGAATCATGGGGGGTTGATGAGACGTCACATAGAGACAGCAGATCACTTATTATGGATGGTTATTTTCAGCACAATGAAAATAACTCTTGTGATGGCATAACAACACAGTCTGAGATGAATGTTTATTCATTCTCTGTACGCATGAAGGAATTTCACATTTCCACCAAACATGGTATATGTTACCAATCGTCACATAAACTGTACCCTCAATATAACACAACTATTTATGATATATCATTAACAAACACTTCTCCAAATTTTCAAACGTCTAACCTCACAGACTATTGGGTTTTCCCCATCGATATGTGCTATACTGACCTTTCTGAAGACGAGAGGACTAACTAGCTGTCTCTGCTTCCAAAAAGACGACACTTCTGCAGATGCCTATGAGGATGCCCAAGATTATGGGGAGATAGAGGTTCATTAAGGGCACTTATTCTGTCAAGGGAGTCGATGTGGTGGCCAGTGTTGGCAGCAGTTCCGTAGTAGAAGATGATGGTGTCAAGTCAAGTCATCTTTATTTCAAAGCAGTAATGCAAACTTCATGAGACAAATTCAAATTCTGCTGTAAAGCAGTTCTAACAAGCCAATAATGTCATTATTCAGCTCAATTCAGTTTAAGTTTTATTCAATAGCAGTGTCAGTGTTCATCAGTTATGAAACAACTTCAGTTTCAGCTATAAAGCAGCTCTACAGAAGACAACAGTGCCATTATTCAGCTCAATTCAGTTTAAGTTTTATTCGCACTCGATAGTGTCAATGACCTCAAATCAATAAAAATGACTGAATATTAAGTGTTTTTAAATTAACCCAGGCTCATTGAAAATACCAGTGAGTGGAGCTAAAACATGCATTCAGTGTGTGACTGTGGCACATTTTTACTACGTTGCTTCAAGTACGTATTGCAGTGGTTTAGAATTCAAATGTCCAGGGAGAGTCGCTAAAAGGTTAATGCTCTATCGTGTCAGAAAATAACATAACCCTACACCAAACCCAACCCTAAACCTACCCAATAATGTTAATGAATGCAAAAGTGATTAAAAAATGCATTCACTGATGCAACCTTGCTATATTAACTTATACGTGGGTTTGAGTTGTTTTGTCTAACAGTAGTTTAACCGGATTCATATCGGAATGCTTCACCTCACAAGTGCAACACGGTATCGCGTGAGCTACCGAGCGTTAGAAAACCCATACACATATGAAGCTGTATATGTGATGATAATACTCAAAAATATCAGTTTTCAAATCTCTCAGCAATTGTTTTGAAGTCATGACATAATATTTGGGATTGTGCAAAAATGAGGTTCCCTTTCATGGGAACTTCGAACTGCGTCCTCTAGGGGTCGCTATGGGGAACGCCTCGTCGTGACCAATCAAAACTCTGGCCCTGTAAATCATAATTTGTGTGAAAAGACATACAAGTTGTTGGAGTTTGACTGTCTCTAGTATTCATTCCAATTGGAAACAGCAGGGATTTATATGTATAAGTACACTTTTTGAGTTTTGCAGAAACATAGCCTGGATAGCTTTAAACACCAACTACACAAACCAAAGGTGACAGTGGTAAGGAACCCATATTCCATCAGGTGACAGGAGCTGGTGTGTGTCAATGCTAGACTTTTGATCCCATTAGCTGGAGCACAAAAGTCCTGGACTTCGTTATCCTCCAGGTAGCAGGCGAGACGGTCACAGTGCATCACCTTCCGAAAGCATTTCTTCAGCGGTGCTTGTTACGCCACATCTCCTGTCATAGCATGACGATGCAGGGGCCAAACAATTCCTGTCTGGGTTTAACGACCAAATTCACTGTCCATCCTGAAACTGACTGCTTTGGCTGTGCCTCTGTCTTCTAATTCGGTCTTGATACCATTGCAGAGTAGGTTGAAGATAAGTCATGAGAACATACTAGGGCTCTCATGCAGAATGTGATATTCTCACTTCAAGGCATAGATCAAAGATAATGAGTCTTTCCTTATCGCAACAGCAGCCAATTATAGCAAGCTTGCGATTTGTAGAGTCTTCGGTGTACTTCAAAGCCACATTTTGGGTTGGTGACACTTACAGAACGTACTGTATGTAGGCCTACTGTAGGGCAATGTGACATTTATATTTTTGTATTCACAAACATCAAAAAAGAGCTGTAGTTGTGGACCATAGAAACTTTTATATACAACTTAGATTCTGTGATAAACTTTCCCACAGTCCTCTGTGTATCAGATATTGTGTAATTTCCTACTAATTGGACTTTCATAATAGCAGTTCTACTTTTTGAAGTGGAGCAATTCATAAGACATATTTGGAAATGCAGTATTTTTGCATAAACTTTATAGGTTGGTTATGTTAAAATTAACCTTGATGATTATTGCTGTGTAATTTGAGTATCGTTTCATGCTCTGTATAATTTGACAGATTGTGATGTTTTCTTGTCGCTATTAGAAAATTATGCTTCAGACAAAATACAAAGTGCTGCCGCATGGCTGTGGTGATTCATCTTGCATACCAGAGCCAATTGTGTGTATGATTAAGACGCATGCATTTCTCCATGCAGTCTCGCAACCAATTATCTTCTCTCTTAAATGAGCCCATAAAGGAACACGGCTTCACACATTCACTGGGACAAAGGGAAATAAAGGCTGGTACTATGTCTTCCCCTAAATGTTCCCCTATGGCACATTTGACAAACAAATCTTTCTAAATTCAACAGCAATGAAAACATCTCAGTTTTCTCATGCGGTAATCTGCCACCAATCACATGTAACCATACCTGGTTGAAGCATAATACATTATGTAAAAAAAGCAATAAATCTGAGGAACAGACAAATATTGACATAAGCAAATATGAAAATTTTAATATATATAGTATATACACAGAAAGAATGAAAGAAAAAAAACAAAAACAAAAACAAAATCCTCACGTGAACCTAATCTGTATAAAATCTTTAAGCAATAGTAAGAACACACATACCATATCTGTGTCTGATACTGGCCCAAAGCTTGTCACATAGATGTTTGTCCTCACCTCAGTCACACTTTCTGATTGGACAAAAAGACAAAGAAAGAGTATGTGTAAGAGCAGAAATAACTGCAATGTAAAACAAATATTAAATTAATTTTAAAGCTATAAATCTGTAAAGGCAACAATGAGATATATGTCTAATGTCACCTGACCAAACTGAAAAACAGGTCTCATCGCATCCGCTTGTCAGAGAAAGTGTTAACAGCAGTATGAACTGATGCCAATATCTATGGAGTTTTAGTGTAGGCAACCTATGACTTTTAACAACCTAGCTAGGTGTTTTTATTGTTGACATTTTATTCATTTTAATAAATATCAGAATGTCCGCTACAATTGCAGCAACTAACCTTACTGAGCAAATTCAAAAAGCATCTATTTGTTAGTAGATGTATATTGTCCTTTATGGTGGCGTATTTGGTTGTTTTATTTAGAGAATTCACTGCAACAGAGATTGTCTGAATGAAAAATTGAGCACATATTGCCACCCTGATGTTGTCTATGACTGTGTTCACCAGTGACTAGAAGGAAGGATAATACTTTATGTAATGAACTTTAAAGTTGTTAATGGGGATTTAGAGTCAAATAATTCCACTTGGCTCACTACTGCTCCTGGTTTCAGCAAGCATTAAAAAAGATCACACAATTACTGATTTTAAGAGTGCTGACAGCAGATTTGCAGATTTTTAGAGTGAGTTAGAAGAAAGATTATGCCTCCCAACTTAGGGTCCAGCAAAGTCTTGAGACTATACTGTAAATGCCATTAAAGGGGTCATGAACTGCCTCTGTTTTTTAAATTTTTTATGAAGCAATAGTGACCACAAAATAAAAACAGTTACTCACACTTGTGTGTTGTGACATTTCTGTCGGATCCAAAATATCCGGCACAGCATTGTCTTTTAGTTTCAATATGTCTGAAAATAATGCGTCGAATTGTGCCTTTTTTGTAAACGAATCCACGGTAAAATTAAGTCAACAAAGGACCAAGTTCTTACTGACGTGGCCTGGATCTTCATAAAATAAATAAAGTATATTGTTTGGTTTCAGCATAGGTAAATACTAAGTTAGGCAAACAAAGGTCTATTACATGTGCAAATCGGTGCGCGGGGCTAAACAGGCAGTGATGTAGAAGCAGGCGTTCATCTTCTTCTGCAGAGGCAGGCTCGTTTTGGCAGATTTTTATACTAATGAGGAACTTTTGAGTTCTGAAACTTACAGAAAGTTTTTTAGCACAATGACCTATTATAAATCAAAAGATCAAGGGAATTTTGATTTCTTAGTCCATGACCCCTTTAATCTTTCCATAAGAAAACTTGCCTGAAACGCTTTGTTTGTACTCCTGCCAATATTTCTGTGGCTACGTCACCATGTTACACATTTGCACAATTCCCACCTACTGGCTGCTTTTGCCCAACTTCAGAAAACATTCGGGGAAATGATTTTGTTATGTCGATGAGATACAGATTTTTTCACTGTGAGAGAAAAAAAACATTCTATGGAGTTCCAATCCAGCACCACTTTTTACAGCTGCTCACGATGCCTTGAGGGCTGAAAATTAATGGTAACTGGCATTACATTTCTGACAAACTCTGAGCAGTTGACCAATTACTACAGACTCGGACTAATGACCAATCAGAGCAGACTGAGCTTTTTATTAAGCCTTATACTTTAAAAAGACAGGACTTAAAACATAGTGTTTCAGGCAGAGGGTGACAATAGGTGCCATAGCAATGTATATTATGATAAAAATCATGTTTTTTGAACTTTAAATCATCTAAGCAGACCCCAAAAATAAAATTGTGAACTTTTAAATGCCTATAATATGTGCACTTAAAAAATGTCCTGTGTGTGGCACACTCTAGGCCTTTAACCATCTGAAGTAAGTCATCAAGTTCCAGTTAGCAACTTTGAAGTGATGAGTACTGTAATGCACATCAGCAACTATGTAAAGCAGGGTGGAAATGGAAAGATTTGATGGAGCTTGAGAGGGGTGACTGGATTGTGGAGACAGCAGGACTCAGGCAGTAGAGGCGATGGAAGCCGTCCAGCTCCACAGTATCAGCCCCGCAGCTCTCAGTGTGCCAATGTGACTTAGCCCATTTATCAAAAGCATACATCTTGATTTTTGACTGCCCACAGCTGGGCTCACAATTTAGGATCTGTACTTTTAGAGGTCACTAGGGATTCACTCTGTGGAGGAGAAAACATATACGCAGAGGGAGATGGTCTAATGGACATCTGTGGGACATTTCTATAAATGTCATTGGGATGTAGACTATAGTGCATCGATGCTCAGCATTTAATGAATCCAGAATGACCAGGGGATCCGATCAGCTTCTTCATTATGATTAAATGAGCAATCTGTGGGTGCGCCATCACAGCAGCGGTCAAGACCTTTCTTTATTTTCATCAGCCATCTTCAACTCATGAGGCTCCTGGGGCTCCTTAAGCTTGGGATTTGTAAGCGATCTCAGGAGAGCGCTGTTCTGTGACAGATTTTGCTATTGATAAACATTACAGTGCCAAGAGAAGACGAGTCATTTCACTGTTCCAAAACACAATCTGTCATGGATCTCAGAGGTGTGAGACTTGTGCTAAGAAGTGTAAATATGAAAGACAGACTGATGAAAAACACGCTCCATCTGCAAGCCAACGGTAAGGCCAGCATGTGGACACTGGAGACACTGAGGAAGGAAATGTGTATAGGCATTTATCATACCTCCTAGTCCGGGACGCAATCTGTTGTCGTAACCATCCAGCAAGCGGTCCAAGATCCGGGTAAAGATGGTGATGTTGTCTTTGCTGTCATCGGGAATGGGTTCTCTGTGACCTGTTACAACCCTGTGGAGAAGAAAAAAGAGATTCAGTTCTCGTAAAGATAGTAAGGATGCTTTGAAAAGAAGCAAATAGGCCACAAGAAAAAAAAAACAGATAGAAAGAAGGCCACTAAGCAATAAGAGTCTGAAGTCATAAATAGAAGAATGGATAGAGAAGAAGAGAGATTGATCTGGTCAACATCTTTGATCTTTCCTTCTTTGAACATGTGTTGCGACTGAAGGGTAGGAGATGCAGTCATTATGAAGTCAAGTCAAGTCAAGTCTGCTTTATTGTCAATTCTTCCACATGTACAGCACATACACACAGAGAATTGAAATTGCGTTACTCTCAGACCCTTGGTGCATACAGATAACACTAGCAGTAGAACATAAATACAGATATACAGATTAAGTATAAAATACAACTATACAACGCAGCGTGTGAACGCGCCGCCATCTTGGAATTTTAATCATCATGAATGGGTCCAGGACAGGTCCTACAAAGGAAATATCAGCTTGACTTCATCTAACGATCAAAAAACTAAAGCCTGACCACAATTCAAATGGATCCTAGCTCTTTCTACCATAGACCCAAATTCCTGATTTTCCTTGACTCAACTGACACAATCCCCAAACCTTAAAATTCAGCTTCTTCTAGGAGGTGACTGATTGGTTGGTTGGTTGATTGACTGATTGATTGATTGAAAAAGAGTTCCACATTTAATACTTATTTCATATGCAAATATGTAAACCAATCATAGTAGTGGATGTTTAAATTGAAGTCTTAAAGGTGACAGGCCCCTTTAAACAAAGTTGAAATGAGAGGGCTAAAATCAGGGCAGAAGATGGCCTTTTATTTCTCAATTATAATTTTTTTATAATAATTTTTACATTTGATTATTTAGTTTCTGTAGTATTTCTTACTTGAATACCACTGCTGTGAATAGACCTGTCTGAACAACATGCATACCAAGTCAGTAGGAAAATTAGTTAAAGTGACAAAAAAATAAATAAAAATGAAAAACAGACAGAATGACAGAGCAGAGGAGTGATAGAACTAATGGAACTCCAAGTGGATTAGTGAAACCTGTCACACAATTGAATATGGCTTTGCAGAAATCCCAGCTCTGGGATTTGGCTGCATTATATCCCAAAAGTTGCAAATGCATTCTTGAATATTCAGCCAACCCCTGGTTCTTTAATTACCTGGAATATGCAGAATAATTATGTCTTGCTGGGGCTGTGATTCCCCGATGAACAATGCAGTGGCACGATGGAGGGCGTGATAGTCAGAAAGCTGATGAGATAATGAGTGCTGTCCTCAATCAAGGGCTGTGCTGGAAGCGACCTTGCTCCAATTACATGCTGACCTTTAAAGGCCAAAAATTTCTCATTACAAAATATAACTGTTGAATGAAAAAAAAAAATCATTCAATTTACAATGAAACAGTGAAAAAAAAAATGTTTTATAAAAGTTTAGTTTCACTATTATTTTTAATGTCTCTTTATGAAGTTTGACATGGTGAATATAAAAAAATCAATAAACAGTCGTCCAAAACTTCAGAAGTGTTTGTTGGATGATTTTTGTCTTTTATGACTAGTCCCACAATGTTCTGGAATGTTCCACAAAGCACTAGAATATTCCAGAATGTTACAGAAACTTCTAGAATGTTCCTATCCTTGCAGAAGCAAAATATATTTTAAAAACATGCAAAATTAGTACAAAAAAGTTATCTGTACTAAACCAATGTTTCATGATTCATTCTAGAAATTCTAAAATTGACCTGACCTAAATATTTACCAAATATTGATGCTACGGGAAAATAAATAATACAATAATAATTAGTACCACGGAATTACAGAAGAATCATAAAACTTTAAGTGATTTTTAATTTTTTTACATTGTGTCATAAATAATCATACTATCTTGACATAATTATGATCAAATTAACATATTTATATATTAAATACTGTACATGTTGTGCATTAATTTTACTCACTACTAATGCATATAATGTCACTATAAATGCAAACTAAACAAATAAATATAATAAAATAAAATGAATGAATGAGCATGTTTTATTCATTATTATCTTATTCATATTTTATTTCATACACCTATTAGTTCACATTTTTACATGCAGTAGTCAGCAAATATGCTGTACTTGCTTTTATCTTGCAGCACTGGTAAAAAATAAATAGTCTCATAATTCATGTGCTTAAATCCAGTATACTGGACATTGAATATTACTTAGTTTCCTCCAACAGAAAAGCAGAATTAACAGTTTGCTATTTAATATGTAACAATTAGCATCAACAAAATGTTGTTTACTTGTAAAGTTGCCCATGCATCTCTGGACTGAGGAGCTTAAAGAGGTTGGAATGAATGATTCTCCTCTTTGCACTTTTGAAAACGGTCACAAGAGCCCATTACAGAGATCATCACACTGAAACATGAGCAAAATCCCTTTTAGTGTTGCAGCATATAACAGAAGCTACAAAAAACAAGCCTTTCTGTAGTGCCAGAGTGTGTTTAGGAGAGTGTTTGTGAGCTGTATTTTTCCATCAGAGTACTCTGGCATATTTTGTACTGAATCATCTCAAGAGGCCATCGACTTTATTGTGGAGCTGAAAATGCAGCAGCACGGAGAGGTAAACATGGCGGAACGGCTGCTTTCAGCCAACAGCAAAGGCAGACCAGCCTCCGTCCAATGTTAATTCATTTTCTTTGGGTTCACACCTCCTTGCAAGAAAACCCTGTCTCACCTGAGTGTGGAGGGGCTTAGCCGAAAGCATTGCAACGACTGACTGATAAGGGGCCCTTTGTATTTCTCCCAGAGCTCAACGGCATACCATGTGACTGATCTGTGTGTGTGTCAGCCGGCCGGTGAGGGATCAACCAGACCTTTCAGTGACGTGACATTTTGGAAGCTGATGATCTTCCCATTGTGTTGCGGTGAAGGAGTTCTGATAATTTATTCATTTCAAGAAAGCCACCCAGATGACAAATTGCAGTTTTTTTAAGTGACACTCAAGAGCACCGTTTGTATGCGGAAACTGCATCCTGCCTTCATTGCTGCTCTTTTAAATATCGGCTCATTGATATTAATCAGCTGTAGATCATGCAGCCTCTTTCCGTTTACAGAAACATGGCTGCTCTATTCAGCAGCTCACAGTGTAAGTGAAAGAACAATGGAAACTGTCTATGGCCGTACTTTCTGTTGTCTGTGTTGAGGAGATAAAATGAGCTAATGCCTGATTAACTGGGGAGACGGACTGAACATTGTGGCTCTTCATGGTGTGCCTGCACATTGCAATTTTTTGTATTACTGAATTGAAGCTAATGAATGGCTCTTACTTGCCAGAGACGCTCATCCTGTGAAGATGGCCATTCAGTGAACTCAAACCAGAGGTTTATTAGTAGGATTCATGAGGCTACGATACAAGTCCTCCTTTGTGTTTGTTTGCCAGCCTCTCCAGCAGGTTTACATAACCCTGTGAAGGCGAATCTTTAAAGGTAATTTACAGCCCATTAAAACAAGCAGAGGAGGATGAGAATGAGTGCACGGTAGGGCGAAAGTGAAGTATGGAGCGATTGCCAAACGAAAAAATACAGCTGAAGCTTTAAACAAAGTTGAAATGAGAGGGCTAAAATCAGGGCAGAAGATGGCCTTTTATTTCTCAATTATAATTTTTTTATAATAATTTTTACATTTGATTATTTAGTTTCTGTAGTATTTCTTACTTGAATACCACTGCTGTGAATAGACCTGTCTGAACAACATGCATACCAAGTCAGTAGGAAAATTAGTTAAAGTGACAAAAAAATAAATAAAAATGAAAAACAGACAGAATGACAGAGCAGAGGAGTGATAGAACTAATGGAACTCCAAGTGGATTAGTGAAACCTGTCACACAATTGAATATGGCTTTGCAGAAATCCCAGCTCTGGGATTTGGCTGCATTATATCCCAAAAGTTGCAAATGCATTCTTGAATATTCAGCCAACCCCTGGTTCTTTAATTACCTGGAATATGCAGAATAATTATGTCTTGCTGGGGCTGTGATTCCCCGATGAACAATGCAGTGGCACGATGGAGGGCGTGATAGTCAGAAAGCTGATGAGATAATGAGTGCTGTCCTCAATCAAGGGCTGTGCTGGAAGCGACCTTGCTCCAATTACATGCTGACCTTTAAAGGCCAAAAATTTCTCATTACAAAATATAACTGTTGAATGAAAAAAAAAAATCATTCAATTTACAATGAAACAGTGAAAAAAAAAATGTTTTATAAAAGTTTAGTTTCACTATTATTTTTAATGTCTCTTTATGAAGTTTGACATGGTGAATATAAAAAAATCAATAAACAGTCGTCCAAAACTTCAGAAGTGTTTGTTGGATGATTTTTGTCTTTTATGACTAGTCCCACAATGTTCTGGAATGTTCCACAAAGCACTAGAATATTCCAGAATGTTACAGAAACTTCTAGAATGTTCCTATCCTTGCAGAAGCAAAATATATTTTAAAAACATGCAAAATTAGTACAAAAAAGTTATCTGTACTAAACCAATGTTTCATGATTCATTCTAGAAATTCTAAAATTGACCTGACCTAAATATTTACCAAATATTGATGCTACGGGAAAATAAATAATACAATAATAATTAGTACCACGGAATTACAGAAGAATCATAAAACTTTAAGTGATTTTTAATTTTTTTACATTGTGTCATAAATAATCATACTATCTTGACATAATTATGATCAAATTAACATATTTATATATTAAATACTGTACATGTTGTGCATTAATTTTACTCACTACTAATGCATATAATGTCACTATAAATGCAAACTAAACAAATAAATATAATAAAATAAAATGAATGAATGAGCATGTTTTATTCATTATTATCTTATTCATATTTTATTTCATACACCTATTAGTTCACATTTTTACATGCAGTAGTCAGCAAATATGCTGTACTTGCTTTTATCTTGCAGCACTGGTAAAAAATAAATAGTC